GATCGCGCACCTTGACGATTGTGAAAAGAAGGTTGCTTTGGCGAAGATCTGACCAGGCATCCTTTCCGTTCAGTGAGGTAACCTCTTGAAAGCCAGTGACGTCATCGTCTAAACTCGCCGTAGAAAACGTGTCGTTGAAAACGTCACGCATGGACAAGTGTATGTTGCGATACTCACAATCAGTACAGTCTTTTAATTGCACGTTAGAATAACGAGAGTGACTCAACGTGGCCCTCGTAGCTCTCAAAGATATATGTGGAGCTATTTATAATATTTCACGTACTTTTAACATAAAGGAGCAGTCAACGTCGCGTAATTCTCCATTTAGTTGTTAATTTATTAAATTACCTTTAATGGCCCCAAGTCGAGATAATTAAATGTGCGAGGAATAATTGAATTAATTATTGCGAGATCAATTTTCCAATACAGAAATACCTGTGCACCTTCTCTGCGCGATTTGCGATCCAATTTCTCTATTCGTTCATTCCTTTATAGTTCTATACTCACTTTAAAGTTTGGAAATAGCAAAGTTTGTGCGGTCTATTCCGATTCGCGTTCTTCCCTGCTCGTTCCTCTTCTCTAATCCAAGCACCTACCGCCGGAAACGGCGCTCGCGAAGAATTCGTTTCAGAGTCTTGTTTTACACAACAAAGATTCCCGAGCCGAGAATAGATCACTCCGGCTACTGCGTCGGCCAGATGAAAGAGTAATAAAGATGACCCGTTTCTGGACCCGCGAATTCTGATCATTTTATTTCTTTTTTTTTTAAGAGCGATCCTCGCGGGTTCTCGGAACCTTCGGTTCGGAATCTTCCTGTTGGGAGATTTCAGGATTCCGCGACGATGTTGTATATTTATGATGGGGACTAGACTGTACGTTACATCACATCGAATTCAACTTTGAAGCTCGCTATTCACGACGAGCGAACGTTCGAACAGTCGTCTCGTTAATGCGACGAGGAAATAAATTTTCACTGCCGTTCCGCGAACGACATGAAGTTTAAGGTGACCGCTCATATATACTTGCTTGATTTTTAAATTATTTTTCTTTTTATTGACTCGTAAAATACTAGAAAATAACCCGTTAATCAGTCGCGACGTGACTTCTCCGTGATATAATTTTTTGGTAGATGTAGAGGTACATTATGCTATTAATAGTGTAAGACTGTGACTATATAGCAAATATTCGTATGACAGTATCACTTTATATCTCGAGAAAGTAAAATATTTGGCTGGCTATTCATTCTATTAGCACTGAAATCCGTACTTACAGCTGCGTGTTTTCTTAATAAAGATTCACCTGTTGCGTTCATTTGCACATATGAGTGTTATTAAAATTTGTTCAATCATTAAAATCGAATGCTGATCTTACTGCAATGTCGACGATTTCAAAAATAGTATTACGGAAAGTTCTTGACATATAAATGACAATCCCGTGAATGAATTTTTTATTACTATCTATGTTCTCGCCTTCTTTTTTCTTGACGCATTTATAATCGCTAACAACAAGATGTTATCATGTCGTTTAGTTACTCATTATTTCATTACTGTTAATATGATGTTAAGTCACGAAATTTTACAACAGATTTTGAACAATTTTGTAACGAAAATTGATATAATACATGAAATAATACGAAAAACCGTACCTTATTTTCTACGTTTCTTACACCACAAGTAATTGGTACGAGAAAGATCGTATCTCACTGTAAGAATCATTCCTTATGAAGATCTATAGTATTCTATAGTATCTATAGCATTGAAAGCAAACATGTCCATTACCTAATACCAAAAGGAATGCAATTGGCTTCTCCAGCTTTATTGCTCGTTAAGATGCGTCGGTGACAAGTGAATTATTGCTTACGGAAAAGCAACACATGGAAAATATGTACGGAACAGATCCATCCAATCCTATTGGCATTCCATTACAAAATTTTCAAGATTTTTGCGCCTTACATATGGCAATAATCAAGACTCAACTGACTAAAGTTACAAATAATTTAAGAGAGATTTGCGATAAAACTAATTATACCTTCGAATAAAATAACAATATAGCATTAAACTTATCGGATTTTTTGTTTATCTTGTCACAGTAAAATTTTATGTCATTTGCGTACTGGAGACTTTCTCTACAGCTCGTCCGTAAGTATATGTATATATACGAATGCACTTTTGCATTGCGGCTAAGTAAAATGCGACTCGAAGGAGAGGCTCGACAATGGGTATCCATTTCGAGTCTTCAAACAAAAGGACAGCATCTTACGTTTCACTCTCGTTTTTTTTTTCACGCATATTATTCATTGCGTTGCTTGGCAACATTACAAGGCACGATAGGGTATTCTTTCTTTTATACATTGGAGATGTAGACCTAAATATTATTAAAATATGTCAACAATCGAATTTTGAAAGCCCTGCCTTATGTAATATAATACTATAAATGATACTATAAATATTCAAGTATTCAAGTATTATTCTTATAGTAGATAATGTATCCATAAAAGGAATAATATTGTTCTTATCTCTAGAGATTTTAGAAAACTATTTAGTTCCGATATCTCTGTATCTTTAAAGGTAATGAACCGTTTTAGTATCTCCAGTTTTTGTCAAAATGGAGTCCATACATTTTTCAATAAAATGTTGAGTTTAAATTATATATGTATAATGGTAAAGCGTCTTATGTCTATTATTACTAATTCCTAAGATACAATGTTTAGGAAAAGTCATAGCAAAAATTGTTATAGTGTCTAATTTTTAAACCATGTACAACACGTGTTATTGACAGTTGTGATATTAAACATGTCATTTAAATTACTTTATTAAAAACTTAATAAATCAAGGCGTTATACTTTTATTTTATATCTAAAAAAATATGTATATCATTTTCCTATTTAAAACTTTAAACCTTATTTTCTCTGAATTCATGCATGATAATAGAGATACGATTCTTTACCTCTAAGGTACAGATATAGGGAAGTTGGTCTCTATTCGATTTATTGTTTGTCACGAGGAAACTGTGAGGTGAGCAGAAGACCGAACGTCCGAGAATCTCGGACGCTTGGTCATCACGGGTGAATTAGCTGGCGCTTGGCCGACCCGCGTGTCACGGCGCTAACGTTTTTGTGACATCACTGGTTAGCTCTCGGTAATTGCTGAAAATAGTCCGGATGAATCGTCACCGATGGCGACGAGAGGCGATTCCCCCCCCGTCGTGCGAACAACGCGCGAACTTCATCGACGCCGCGGCGGGACAATGTCGAGTGCCGGCGGACAACAGAAATAACCGCGGCGGCTCGGATGCGACTAAATTCGAGCGACCGAGTGCATCTTCAGCGTTATTCTTAATAAGAGATCTACAACGATCGCGAGAGCTCTTTCTTACCTTCGTGAAGGGTATGTCAAGAAGGTGAATGACGCGCCGAGACTCTCGCAGCTGATGTTACGCGCGGAACGGCGTGCATGCTTAAACTATCAGCGTATCCGCAAAAGTTATGCAATAAAAAGATGTCACTGGCTATATTTATGTAAATTACAATTATGCTGATTAATCTTAGAGATTTTTATCATACGATTGACAGACTAAAACCTTCCATTGTCTATATCTCACATTAAGAAAGACATGCATTTTGCTTCCATTGTGCGTGGTTGAACATCACTGCCAATTTATTTACGAGTTGGTCACTTCGACTGAGATCAAAAGTATTAGTTCCCTTCTAAGATTAGCAAACAAGATCTTTGTATCAAAGATGACTGTTCGAAGAAAACCAAATTGTTCACCTCGACTTGTTGCTTCCTCGTTTCCGCACGTTAATAATACGTGTCATAATACGTGTCATCTGATTTTAATCGTTTTTATTCTGACAAACACAACTTTGCCAGAAGTTTACCAACCATATAATTGATACCATTCTAGACAAAATTTAGATTCTGCAGTTATTCAGACATTTGGCGATCACTCAACAAATGAATCATGCGCGTCGAGGATATCTATTAGCACAATTTCATTGCGCAAACACGCAATGCGCCTTTTCGTTAGCGCGTCGCTTCGAGACGCGCATTGTGAAAGAACGCATCATCTCGATTCCATAAATGCATCGTGGTGAAATATTTCTCTTATAATAACGCCCACTCGATCTTACTCATGTCGGATAATTGAGCGGTGATCGATCTACGGATGAATAATAAGACTTTACGGGAAGAAGAACTCGATGAAATCTCTTCGCGAAAGAAAGGAAGTTACTCACTCATGAATAATAAATTTCAAGGAAGTTGCATTTTTATAAATTATATTATTATTCACCGCGTATTTAGATTTGAAATAATGCATGCAACTTTAAAGTGAGTTCTCTTTATATGAACTTATCTCACAGTACCTATTAAAATAAAAAGGAATTCTTACACACATTATTCATGATAGTAAAATTTAATCTCTCGCGAATAATAATTTCCGAGAACGTAAGGAGAAAGATTTGTAAACATAACACTTATGTGCGAATTATTGTTCAAAAGGATTTTTGATGTCAAATCGAATCGAATTGAATTTTATTTTCTCTTTCGAATTCGAATTGAATCGAATGGACAAAATTTTATTTGAATTGAATCGTTGAAATGTAATTTTTAATTAACAATATAATTATTATTAAATTGAATTTTAACATGTAGATAATAAAAGAATATTTTAATGTGGAAAAACAATTAATATTAATTATATAATAACAACTCTTCTTAAAGGAAAAAATATATTTAAATATTTAATATAAAACTAATAAAATATACTTTACTTAATGTCGCAGTAATTGAAACAATTAGGCAAAAAATCATAGATAAATTCGAATAGTTCGGATTCGAATCACAGAAATTCGAATTTGAATAGTTCGCACATCTCTAATAAAAACTCTTGAATCGCAGCCAATTCGACATCTATCCAGTAATAAAATATATAGTTTATAATATAAAGAGCTTGCTTATACGCCGAATATTAATCTACCTTTTCTCTTAATTTTGCAGACTCTTCGGACATCGTAGACTGTAAATTGAAGTTGATCCTCGGTCTAATATGGACCTTGATCCTGCACTACTCGATCTCTATGCCCATGTGGGAAGGCGACGACGGCGAGGACAAAGGCGCCACCCCGAAGCAGAGGCTGATGCACTGGATCCAGTCGAAGGTGCCGGATCTACCGATCACGAACTTTACTTCTGATTGGAACGACGGCCGCGCGGTAGGTGCGCTCGTCGACGCGGTCGCGCCCGGCCTTTGCCCGGATTGGCAGGACTGGAACCCGAAAGATGCGATTCAGAACGCGTCCGAAGCAATGGGTCTCGCTGACGACTGGCTCAATATTCCTCAGGTTCGCCGATATATTATATATTTTATTCGACTTTAAGTTCTATTCGAAATAAGGAAAGATTTGGATTGATCACACTTATTGTATATCGAATTCATATATTACTTTTACCAATTACATGTACGTTAACTTTTCAAAACGTTATTAAATTTATGACTTACTTTGATGGATTATAATTTTAATTGAAGATTATCTATGGAACCAATAGGTATCTATGGAAAGAACCAATTAGTTAACATGTGTGGCGTAAAAAGATGTATAATTACCGATAAATTAATTTTTTCAAAATAAATAGAGATATGCCATTTTCGGTTTGGTAATCTTCTGGTTGATTGTGTCTAAAATATTTGTGTAAAACATTTTATATACTTTTTTCCACTCAAATTGCGCCGATTATTGGCGGTTTTTAAGTACAATCATTTAATGGGACAATAAATTTAAATCGATAACCGCTTTAATATTTTTATGCTAATAAGCATTCTTTTAATCACTGTGAAGAATTTATTGCGAAAAATGCCATCCTCAGCCAGAGTTCGAACCTGGACCTCTCTTCAATCCGTGACGGGCGTCTTTACTAATTCGATCACTGAGGCATATGGTGATATTTATCGCTATAACCAATAAATATTAATGAAGATAAAAAATAATTTTTAATTTCACGGGTAAGAAGCGTCTCACGAATTGCGTCATTTTCGTTACAGCTCATTAAACCCGAAGAGATGGTGAACCCTAACATCGACGAGATGTCGATGATGACATACCTGTCGCAATACCCGAGCGCAAAATTAAAATCAGGTGCCCCTTTGCGCGCCCGAACGAATCCAAATAGGTAGGAATAAAAACAGCTTTGTATCTCTTAAAACGTTATCACGAGAACGTGTTTCGTATTATGTATTTCTTTTTTGCAATGTTATTTATTGCAAACAATTTCCTTTATTTTGAATACTTTATTATATGATGTTTTTCGTATCTTATTATATTATATTGCTCATAAAAAATGCTACAATCGGTACTGTTTATTATGATTCCGATCATCTAAGAGTGATCTGAAATGATCGTAAATGATCTTTTTTTCTGTTTCGGCGTACGGTTGTTAGTAGAAATGTGCGAAACAAATTGCGCGTGTAGATCTCTGATGTGGTGATTGTGATTAATTAATCAATTTATTTCATTTCTCGGTCGCAGCATCCCACCGCCGCGGTAAGTCGCGCATTGATCATGTATTGTGACGTATAACGGTTTTTGCGCAATTAATGTCCGCCGCCTTAATGAGATCTATTTCTTAACCCACAACGCTCCTAATCACTTCTTTATACGTTGTATATGTACGTAAAACGCTTGATAGAGTAAATAAACCTGCGTAGTGCGCGATTAGCGAATACGTTTGCAAATTTCCTCAAGAGGAAACGAGCGAGAGAGTTTGATTAGTATGGTGCAATGATTTTATACCTTTCCCGAGTTTTTGCGGATAGATAGATCTTTCTTTTTTCTCAAAGCTTAATGTAATAACATTATAATTAATCTCTTTGTACGTGTACACACGTGAAAGTTTCACGGAGGGCCAAATTGAACTAATCGGATAGTGAGTGATCGCAATTCTGCAGAACGTGTCGCGCGCTTGCAAATTTTTGTTTTCAAAAAGATCGAGGCAAATCATCGCGCAATCATCGTGGCACAAAGCAACCGCTTGTAACCGTCTGGCAAATGGATTTACTTAACGTATTGATGTAACAATGTCGCGGCCACTGGGCTGGTAGCTTACAAATTATCTTTTCTAACTGTATTTTCTTGCGCAGAGTGCGTGCTTATGGCCCCGGTATAGAACCAACTGGCCCAATCGTCGGCGCACCCGCCAATTTCACCGTGGAAACCTTCTCCGCCGGCAAGGGTAACGTTGACGTCATCGTCGATGATCCCAAAGGAAACAAACTACCGGTAAGTCTATCGAATGATGTTCGATCAAGTTTCCAAATACAAAATCTTTAGATAGTTTGTCTGAAAACATTGGTCCAAGCTGTGCAAATTGTTTCCAAAAATTTGGAATAGTTTTCTACATTCTTTTGATGCGTCCGAGATGGGAATTTCTTTTGTAATTAAACTTATGAAATAAGGATTATGAAATTATATTTGTAGCAATTAGAAAAGTTAAAGTTACTAATAAATCTATTAACAATAATCAATTTCTTCAGTTTATTCCAATAAGACTTTATCTTCAATAGTATTTTAATTTACTTAATTATATGACCAAGATTAAAGGCAAAAGATTTTACTGAGAAAAGAGGCAGTCTTTTAATTTACTAGAGAGAGATTAGAAAAATTTCCTGCAAGTCAAATCCATATGCCGTTTTAATATTAACTAAATAGGTATGTGCTAATGGCATCTATTGTCGAGCGCGGAAGTCGGAAGATTCTTATCACAATCGGAGTAATTACGCCACAGGACGTGGACACGTGTGATGCAATAGCTATTTGTGTACCGCGTGACTATTACGTATTATCTGAATGTACGAGCATTCGCGCGATATGAACGCGAACAAGTTGAACGAACGCCGTCCTTATTCCCCGTATTATATCCTGATGATGCCGACTCGATTGTGTTTTCAAGGTCGATATCAGATTCAACAAGGACAGGAACCTGACATACTCGGTCTCGTATACTCCGAAGACAGAGGGTCCGCACAAAGTGAAGGTGCTCTTCGCCGGCCGGGAGATCCCGAAGAGTCCGTATACTGTTAATGTTGAGGGACACGCTGGTGATTCGAGCAAAGTCACGGCGAGCGGGCCGGGTCTGCAACCGGAGGGAGTCGTCGTGAACAGACCTACCTTCTTCGACATCTTTACGAAGGACGCCGGTCGTGGAGTGCCGGAAGTTATCATCCTGGATCCGCAGGTAAAAAATGATCGGCATCGTTCGTTACGCGTCATTACTAAATAACAGAATAAAATATCATTATGATAAATCTTGTTATTCCGTGTAAATATTTTTATATGTAATTTAACTTGCAGGGTAGCAAAACCACGGTGCCAGCAAAGCTGCGTCAGACTTCGCCAGACGTCTGGAGATGTGAGTACGTGTCGCCAGTGACAGGCATACATTCCGTCAATGTTTTCTTCGCCGGCAAACCTATACCCGGAAGTCCCATTGGCGTCAACATCGCGCCGGTTTCCGATGCAAAGAAATGCAGAGCGTACGGACGAGGGTTGTTGCCTACTGGCGTCCGTGTCCAGGACATCGCCGACTTCGTCGTCCTCACTAAGGACGCCGGTGAGGGTGTACCGGACATTCGCGTAATCGGCCCGGGAGGCGTCAATCGACCAGTGCAGTAAGTCCTTGCTATATTCAGTAAAAATTGTCACTCAAGAATACTTTGTTACTTTTAACATTTTACTTCTCGGTTTATGTCACATTTATTATTTTTATATATTTTATTACACTTTCATATAACTTTTTAAACGTTAATGAGAAACGAGATTGTAAATAAAATTATCAAAATTTTGTCCGTTTAAATTTGGAAAAAAAAAGGGAAAATATGAAATGGAGCAAGTGTTGAAATATCTTGTGTCAGACGTTTTTGCTTTAAATTCAATTATCGATTTCATTAACGATATTGCATAAAATTATTTTAGAATGTCCAAAACCGACGCTACGACTTACAAATGCCACTATACACCGATCAAGGAAGGTCGCCACGTAGTAATGATCACGTATGGCGGCAAAGAGATTCCCAAGTCACCCTTCGAGGTCAATGTGGGTCCTTACAAGGAGTCCAACATCAGGGCTTTCGGACCGGGTCTGCACACCGGCGTCGTCGGCCAACCAGCGAAATTTACAGTAGACACAAACGGTGAGACCGGCGCCCTTGGTTTCTCCATCGAAGGCCCGTCCAAAGCAAAGATAGAATGCAACGATAATGGCGATGGAACCGCCGATGTTTCTTACCTGCCTACCGCGCCGGGCCAGTACGCGGTCCACATCCTCTGCGATAACGAGGATATCCCCAAATCGCCTTATATCGCGACTATTTCACCAAAGGCCGACTTCGATCCGGAAAAGGTAAACTCGAGTTTTTATTTTACTATTAATATTTCTTTATATAATCTGTATATATGTATACATTTTCCATGTATATTTTTATATATAGCTACTTTTGCTTATATTCTAGAATAATCTAGAACATCTTATAGTAATGAAAAACATAATATTTTCCAATTTTTTACATCCAATAAATTCAATATTAACCAAATTAGTAATAATATGTTGCTTTTATTGACTCGGCCGGTGAAAGAAATCACCGTACAGTATCGATTGTACTTTGTAGGTTGAAGTTCATGGACCAGGAATTCAGCCAGAAGGTGTTGCCAGAGATAAACCGACGCACTTTACGGTGGATGCGAGAAAAGCTGGTCAAGCGGCTCTGGAAGTCGTCATCCAGGATGCTCTTGGAAGAGACGTTCCGCTTAGATTAGAAGACAAGCGGGATGGCACTGTTCAAGCGCATTATACACCTACATCTAGTTCCCAGCATGTTGTGATGGTACGACCAGAATATTGGCTTCGAAAGCCTTGAATTGAATTTTCGCTGCTCGTTGATTCCTTAGAACATGCTATTTTTTAATCAGAAAAAATGAAAGTAGTCAATGTGAGACTTCTTAGCAGAATAAAACCGATGGAATTTGGATTTATATTGGATACTTCCATCCAAATTAAAACAGATACATAGAGCATTGCATAAAACTTTGTTGAAATATTCAGCGAAAGCATAACCGTAGTGCCAACTTATTTCGATTTCTTAAAAATATCTTTTTCCAGGTGAACTATGGCGGAGTGGCCACGAAGAAATCTCCGTATAGAGTTAAGATAGCTTCGCCCTTGAATCCCGCCATGGTCTCCGCTTTCGGTCCCGGTCTTGAGAAAGATGTGAAATCGAACATTCCGACACATTTCAACGTCGACTGTCGCGAGGCTGGCCCCGGTAAATTGGATGTCAAAATGCTGAGCCCCGAAGGTCGGGAACTTCCAATTTCGCTGACGGATAATGAGGATGGCACATACGTCGTGGACTACATGCCGCCCCAACCGGGAAACTATACGGTGAATCTCAACTATGGCGGTCTGAAAGTACCCCAGTGTCCCATTAAAGTTAACGTACAGCCTCATGTGGATGTGTCCAAGGTCAAAGTGGACGGCCTGGAACCAAGTGAGTATAATTATCGAAAATTCTTCAAGTACCGCCTAATATTTCGATTACCATACACTATCGGTTTATTTAAAATCAGATTTAATCATCTGATAAATGCGTCACTAATCGCAGATACGCTCGAATCAAAATATTATACGCAGCATCTCGTCCTACGAAATTGGGACAATGGTTGAATGTTCTTTGGCATAATATCTCGTCGTTTGAAGTTATAAACCTGACGACATATTTGATCGATTAGTAGTATTTCATTATAATTATAATTTTAACAATATATAAGTAAAAATTATACATATATATATATATGTATATATATAGATACATATATATTATTTTACTTCTTTTAAATTATTAGAACTGAATTTATAAATAAACTTAATTAATAATTAATATTACATGTAATAGTGTAGACTATTAACAAGAGATAATTAAGAACATTTATCTATCGTTATATCTCATTTGGTTTGAACGAAATAATTCTCCCGTAGTAGAAATCTAAAAATTTTATGTTTATTATCTTTTAATTTGATAACTTGTTAAACGCGATTAGATGAGGATCAATAAGTGCAATTAATAAGAGCTTGCACTCCGAGAAATGCGTTAGCTCGAAAATAAATCGCGCCAAATCACGCTCTTTCCAGCGATCATTGAGAAGAATAATTTTCGCGGCATACAGCCGATATTCTTTTCGAGGATCATTCGGGACGCTACCGTGTAGCGTGGACGATGCGTGTATCTAGCCTGGATTATCGAAATATAGCGTTGCCAAGGTCTCCCCGCGGATAGATATTCCGCTGGAGCGCGAACCGATGACTTATTTATAGCGGCGCTCGCGGATTTCTCACAGTTGACACGCACACCCTATCGCGTTTCGTATATTCTAAAAATATTGCATTTCGGTATTGCTTACGCGTTGCGTCTTCCACATAACTTTACCTGGAGCCCTCCACACGCAGGAAGGCAGCAAGCAGCTCCGTCGCATTGAGCGCGTCACGATAAAATTCTAAAAATAAGCAAATAGCAGTAGCGTTCAAGAAATCAATATACAATTTTTTGTAAAAATAAATAATTATTTTTGCACGTTGAATAATATACACGTTGTAACTGAATGCACTTTTAGCTAAGACCACGTCAGTGTTTCGTTAATCGCGGGAGATCCTCCTATTTTGGAATACGCTCCGCCTAATTTACACGCGCATTGTGAGCTTATGTATGTGGCTTTTTCTCACAAACTCGATGCACATCCAGTATTTGAGATCTAACAGTTATGATAACTTTGCGCGACGAACGTCCGGCCGTACTTGCTGGTGAGTGTTGGCCCGTAAACTGCGTATTATATTTAATCACTCGAATTCTTCAAGTTTTTGTACATTCAGTAGAGATGTGCGAACTATTCGAATTCGAACTTCTATGATTCGAACTATTCGAAACTTTCGAATCTAGATGGATCGAATACGAATCATATACATTGTCAATTTTATAAAATCACATTTCCAGTTGATAAGCAAAAGTACGATCATATTAATAGGTGCGTTCAGTGAGCCCATCCAGTATTATAACCACTCTCTGAGCGGCTAAGTATGGCAGTCAAAAAGTTTATTTCCAATTATTGACATGCCTTGTAATCCTATCAAATTATAAATAAAAGTTTTAATATGCATAAAAAAATAGTAAGCTATTAGTATTGATAAAATAAACTATATTATTTTATTTTAATTTCTATGTATGTTATTGGATACTACATTAGAGTATTTTAATAATTTATCTATGATTTTTCGCCTAATTGTTTCAGTTACTGCGACATTAAATAAAGTATTTTTTATTAGTTTTATATTAAATATTTAAATATGTTTTGCTTTAAAAAGAACTTATATATAGAAAAATAACTTTATCTCCGCCATAGTGATTAAAACCAATATATTATTTTATTGCTCGACTTGAACTTATATTATATAATTAATATTATTTTTTCACATTAAAATAGTTTCTTATTATCTATGTTAAAATTCAATCTGATAATAAATAATTATATTGTTAATTACAAATTATATTTCAACGATTCGATTCGATCCGACACGAAAAATCTTTGATTCGCACATCTCTGACGTTCAGTTCATCCTTATTAATTCAATCCCTCGTAATCGTCGATCCTCTCTTCGACGAGCATCGACCGCGATTTCACCAGCAAAAGACGGCGCGACGTCCGTTCGCCGGCTCGCGGGCCGTCGTCCCGTCGCGCAAGCACAAGCGAAAGACGCATCGCGGCTCACCACGAGAAACCGCAAACGTCCTCGCAGCGGCCCCGGTGAACAGCCTGCAGCAGTTCCGCGTGATAACGCAGGAGGCGGGCAGGGCGGCGGACTTCCAGGTGGCGATCACAGCCCCGTCCGGCAATCGCGTCAAGGCGCACGTGGTGCCGACCCACGAGGGCTACCTGGTCAACTTCACGCCCACCGAGCTGGGCGAGTATCTGCTGGCCATCAGCTTCGGTGGCGAACCGATCTCGAAACAACCGTACCGGCTGACCTGCGTCCACGGCTCCGATCCGGGCAAGGTGCGCACCTCGGGACCCGGTCTTTCCCACGGCGTGGTGAACAAGCCGGCCGAGTTTGTGATCGACACGCGCGGCGCCGGTCAAGGTGGCCTCGGCGTCACCGTCGAGGGTCCCTGCGAGGCCGCGATTAATTGCCGGGACAACGGCGATGGCACCTGCTCCGTCGCCTACCTGCCCACCGCGGCCGGCGACTACGGCATCAACATCACCTTCAACGAGCAGCACGTGCCGGGCTCGCCCTTCCAGGCCATCGTCGTGCCGGACGCGGACCTTTCCAAGATCAAAGTCAGCGGCAGCGGCATCCAGCCACACGGTACCGTTAAGGAACGTCAGCACGGAAATCGTTTTGCGATTGGAAATTGAGAGAAAGAGTATTATTGTGACTTGCTAGTCTCTGATTTGCGCAATCAGTCTCGTAATGCGTCTCGAGATTTTGTAGGGATGGACAATACTGTTCAATATTCGTGCATGTAGAATGAATTCTTTAGAAAATCCCGATGATCATTCCGAGATGCATACGTTGACGTGTGACGTGATTGCATTTTTTTGGTAGCTCATTGTCATTATGGCATTCCCTGCTCTAGACTTTCTGATCTGTAGCTGTCTTTATCGTTAAACTTTTGTTACAAGGCACTTGAATGCTTGAAGACACACTTGAGGACATGTTTGTAAAAAGTATGTACGGAACGACAATTTTTAAGTTTGTTTCTTTCTACGACCATGCCTCGTTTTCAGTTTGTCCAATGATTGAAATCCAATGCCATAAATAATAACCTTGTATGCTATTGTGATTTTTTTATGTTAATCATTCACAGAATGCAATTACATTTTATATATTGTTTTACAATATGCGCTTATGTATTGCCATTTTAACAAATAATTTGTTAAATTAGGTATTACGTATTGTTTAAAACAAATAGACGTTTTATTAAATTATAAACGATACGTTAGGCAGGGTAATTCAGTGTATCTATTGTAAAAACGTACCTCAAAATCACATTTAGTACAATATTAATATTTATATAATATTTAGTACAATTATTGTGATAATAGTAGTAATAACATAAAATTATTTTGATTTTTATTAAAGACGTATGTGTCTATTTTATATTATTGTTTCATATAAAACTTCAACCTGTAAGAAAATATGCAAAATTTAAAATACAGGATTATAAATGTAATATCTTCAATATTACAAAATTCGACCTTAAAAAAATGCAGCTTCTGTCATAAAGATGCATTGATTACATCATCAATCTCGAATTTTCGGACATGAAAGAGATATGCAATTCAAGAAAAATAATTTTTTAGAATAATAAAATTTAATTTCAAAAAAGTTAATATATACATACATATATATATATATATATATATATATATATATGTATATATATAAGATATACGTATTTGTTTGAAACAAACATTCGAGCGTCTTCATTCAATCATGTCGTATTATCGCGTTTTGCAGGTTTATTCGTGAACAAGCAAACGGCGTTCACGATAGACGCGAGAGACATCGCCAAGTCGAAGACCGACGACGGCAAGGTGTCCTGCACCATAAACAACCCCAATGGCGGAAAGATCGAGAAACTCATCATCCCCCAGGGTGACGGCACCTACCGCGTCAGCTACACACCGTTCGAGGAGGGCTGTCACACCATCGAAATTCTCTACGACAACGTGCCAATCCCGGGTTCGCCGTTCTCCGTCAACGTGCAACGCGGCTCCGATCCCAGCAAGTGCCGCGCGTATGGTCCTGGCTTGGAGAAGGGCATCGTGAACAAGACGAACCGTTTCACGGTGGAGACCAGAGGTCTGCAAGCCAACATTTCGATCAAACAAATTCTTAATGCTGTAACTTTATACTACCTACAAATTGTATAATTGAGAACATGAAGATTATTACGTAGACGATGGGAAATATAGGGAAAATAGAGAAGAAATAGCACATGTGCGATTTTTTTTTCAGAGGCCGGCAACGGCGGCTTGGGTTTGTCTATCACGGGCGACGGAGAGGTCAAGGCGGAGGCCAAGGATAATTACGATGGTTCCTGCACCGTCGAATACGTTCCCACGGAACCCGGTGACTACGAAATCGGCATCAAATTCGCCGAACAGAACATACCTGGTTCGCCGTTCAAGATCGAGGTGGTATCGGACTCGGAGGCGAAGAACGTGATCGCTTACGGACCCGGCCTGCAACCTGAGATGGTACGCGAGGGCGTGCCCGCCAAGTTCACGGTAGACACGTCCAAGTGCGCCAAGGCGGCGCAGCTGGATGTAAGACTGTCGACTGACAAGGGACAGGCGCAGAAGCCGCAGATCAAGAACAAGGGCGACGGCCTGTACGAGGTGACGTATCAGCCACCGCCTGCCGGAAGTAACGTGCACGTCGGCGTTACTTACGACGGCGAGGACATCAACGGCAGTCCGTACAAGGTGAAGGTCCTGCCCACCGTGGAGCCCAGCAAGGTGACGTTGTCGGGTCCCGGGGTGTCGCCCGTCTGCACTGCCTCCTTCCCGACTGACTTCGTCGTAGATACTTCCAATGCTGGATACGGCGATCTCGAAGTGCAAGTTGTGGTGAGTAATATCGCGCGAAGTGTTTTGTATCGCGCGTTTGACATTCTACATTTGCACATTCGATTCGAGGGAGCAGAAAGGGAGTTATATATATATTTTTACAAATATTAGTCTTAAACTTATTGTTAAAAATAATAATTAACATACAAAAGATTCTCGTAAATATTTCTATGTACTAAGAACAGGATATAATTAATTTTTTTTAAATTTACGAAGTGTATAACATTCTCTTTTTTCTTCTAAATAACTTTTTTTTTTTTTTATTTTGGAAGCCTATAATAGTGATCACGGATACTGGCGAAGCTGTAAGAAAGCAGTTATCCCCTTGAAATCTTACTAATGATATCTCACTGATGAAGAAATCGGCGTATCTACCAAATGAAGTTGGGAAGAAGAAGTTGCAATCATCTTTTTAGAACTTTTTAGAAATTCAATTGCTTCGATTTTCAATCGTGAAGCAAATAAAATCTCACTGATTTATATTCACGCGCAGTATTGGCGAGTTCAAAAAATTTATATTATTATCAAAATATATTGCAAAGTATTATATGTTTATTAATTTGTATTAATATATGTACAAAATAAGTAAAAAATATAGAAATTATACAAGAAAATATAAGTTTAATGAGATTCGTTAATTAATTTGGCTAAAATTTGGGAAAAGCCGTTCCTAAGCAGCTTTGCAGGCTTGCTTAGAGCTGAATCAGTAATATCAGCCGCAAGCTGGTACAGAGCCGGATTTTCCATTTTGGCTCTTAAAAAATTTATAATAAATAAAATACGGACTCGCAGCTAAGCAACCCGACAGAGGTCGGTAGTGTTACTCCTGTCGACCCTTAAGTGCAAATAATCGAATGTCTAACGGGTAGTGTGAGCGATCGTGTTCATCACATTTTTGCAAATAACGCCTTCCCGAATCCTTTTCAGGGACCAGACCAAGTGCCGCGCAGAGTAGAAGTGCAGGACCTCGGCGATGGGAAGTACAAGGCGACCTATCTGCCGGACGACTGCGGCCGTTACAAGGTCAACGTGAAATATGGCGGCAAGGAAGTGCCGGGCAGTCCAGTGAACGTGCAGAGCGTGTCCACCGGCAAGGCGGATCAGTGCAAGATCAAAGAGGGCATTCAGCGCACTTTGGCTCAGGGCGAGGAGTACTGCATCACCGTGGACACCGAAAATGCAGGCCGCGGTGCAGTGACCTGCCGCATCCGCTCCACTTCCGGAAGGTGAGTCCGCGTGATCCGCGCCCCGATTTAAATCCGACTATTTTGGAGGAGGTGAATCAGTGAGACGAGACATTGCGGGAACCTTCAAAATCTCGCTCTCGCAGTTGCCGAATAACGTTCTGATCTTCGTTCTTCTTTCGAAATCTGAGATTTAATTTATCGTACAATTTTTTCACGCCGTTTGTGATTAGGATATGCTTAAGAGATATCTTTTTTTAGAAAAAGGAAATCTGTTGTGTGATATTATATACGTATCTATATGTCAATATTAATTAGAAATATTCTGCCTTTAACTTAATTTTAATTTGTCTATGAATCTTTAATCTGTATCTGATGTGTATCTTCACTCATTTTTTCTGCAAGAAGTGACTTACAGATAAGTCAACTCTTCATTTGTGTTTTTTCTGTTTAATTTTAATATATTAAAGTCTTTGTAATTTTCAGTAATAATGTTCTTCGCACGTTATAAGTTATAACTTTTGTATAAGTTATAACTATGTTTTGTGTTAAAAATATATACGTGGAGGCGGTTCATATTTTTACCGCATTCCTCGCATTTGCATTTTTCGATCTTCAGATTTCAGGCAAAAATTCCGTCTTATTTTATGCGTCACGGTGTCGCGACTTACTTATTTTTAATTCATAGGCGAAAAATCGAGAAAGATCTCTTACCGCTATTAAATATCGAACAAATTACAATAAATTATTATTTTATTCTTCTATGTTCATTCTTCTTATTTCATTCGTCATATATTGTATGTTTCTTACGTGTACAATTATATTATTATATTTTTTTATTCTTTATCTTACAAACTCTATAAGTATAAGTTATTTTTCTAAATAATCAGTGCATTCACACTGCTTGCTGCTTTGTTGTTTGCAATTAAGTGGTAAGGATTGCTATAAATAAATGGCTTCATTGTACCGAAATTTAGAAACAAACAATTTGAAAAAACAAATAAGAAGCACAAATAATAGAGACATATGTTGTTACACTTTGATTCATAATCATGTATTGGGATTAGATCTGCAGTGTAATGACTAGTCGGCTGTAAATCGTGTAACAAATCCGGTAGAAATCAGGCACGTGGCACGTTGCCATTACGAACGTCATGTACACGGTGGTAATAAGTTGTTCGTCGCGAATTTCCGGCCGTGGTACCTATGTCGATTACCATATCGTAACATTGAAATGAAATGTCGGTCTGGTTTAATCCGAAAGCGAAATATACTTTTAATAAAACTTGGCATCGACAGCGAACGAACGCCAAGAGGAATGATTATTCAGGATGTACGAAGATTGATTTCATAAACAATATATATAAGCAATTAAGTCGTTTTCTAGGTACTCAGTTGCAGAAATAAGAGAATTCTTTGTACGCAATATTCATTTCTCGGGGCTGGCTTTATCTCACACTATATACGTACAATTGGCAATTGAGCGCCAGATTAATTATATAATGTTGCATGTATTCCTCTAATTGTCATAGCTGATGCCAGACTATAGATCACTTTACACGCTTTCTTTGAAAAAGAGTCACATTGGAATTTCTTCATAAGAGTTTGTCATCCGTGTCGGACATTTGTTCGTCTATTTGACACTTTATAGTGACAGTTAAGTTGCGTTCGAATTAAATTTAATCCACATCAGTCGACACACACATCTACATTATTTGTCGAAAATTTATTTAAAGTTCGTATCGAATTTATACAGCGTGAATAAATATCAGAAAAAGATCCACGAAACTGATAATGTTTAAGATGATCTTAATATATTACTACAACAAAATGAAATGATAAATCTCGTAATCAGAAAGAAAATCCTACTTTGTCATTGTCTAAGATTACTTTTCAGATTTCTTGTTATCATTTCTTGTTCGTTACAATGTCGAGATGGATGCTGTAACGCCGCGACATCCGCGCGATTATGTCCTTCGCGAATATTTCGGGATTTCTAGAAAGAGAGAGACGTGCACTTCTTATTCTGCCTAGATATCATGTGCATTTACGCATAACCGGGCGCGTGCTCTGTAAAAGATTGTCACAACTTTGATCAAATCGACTATAAATGCATTCTGAACGCTGACAGTGGTGTACACACCTGCTACCTCATAATTCATCCATGATACCCCGTGTTGTTCGAGTTGGCAGTGAGTGTCTTCTGTCGAAAAGACATTTTAGAACGGGCCAAATTCTTTATCACAAGTGTACTAAGTGATGAGAAGCCACGTTGCGTCCAGTATTTCCTATAAACGCGATTTTCCAATTACATTTTACATGCTAAACCTATAACAAATAACGATTTATTTTATAGTTTATCATTATTAGCAGTTATTTAAGATTTAAGCAGCACGCAAAAGTATAAAAGTGAATTATTGGATTGTTCGATTTTTTTATTTTGTACATTCTACAAATGTTAGTTTTCAAAAGTTGGTTAATAAGTTAAATTTTTTATACATATGAAGAGAAAAAGTATTCTGATAAATTATCATTGCAATGATAATTTCTCTCTCTTTATTTTGCTGTCTCTTTAAGAGTTGTTACTTTCAGTAAAGCTTTACAAAATTTTCTGATTGTTGTGATATAACTAAATCTCATCTCTTTGTAGAATTTAAATTTAGTTTTCTTTACGTAAAGAAGAAAAAAGTTTCTAACTTCTTTCAAGTTTCTTACTTTACTGGCGATTGAAAAATTTGAATAATTAGGAACAAAGTCGCGAGAAAGTATTCGAAGTGACGTATTGCTGAATGAAATTGTAGCGGTGTCACGAAAATATGCGCGAAAATTTCGTGAATGGATCTCTGGTCTATATTTTAATCTCTGAATAATACGTCTCGGTCTGTGATTTCAGTGAAGTCGTTGACATTGACATAGAAGACAACGGCGATGGCACAGTTAACATTTACTACACTGTTGCCGATGCGGGAGACTACACCCTCAGCATTAAGTTTGGCGGTCAACCGGTGCCTGAAGGATTCTATACCTTCACAGTGAGTAACAGCATTGTTTTTAATATTTTGCGATTTATTTTGCGAAATTTTTATTTTTTTTGTATACTTATCTGTTCGTACAAAATACGCGATGATCGAAGTTTGCAAAGTTCTTTATACAGCGCGCTGTATATCTTACAATAATCCTTAATATAAAAAACTTGTATCTATTAAAATTTCTACCACTGAAATAATTTTTTGGACTTTCTTGAAAATTTCCTGAAAGTTTCTTTAAAAAAATCATAATTTTTGTATTTTTGTTAATTCTTTTTATTGAATTAATCGCTGTGTGAAATTATTGTATTACCATACTAAAGAAATTCTTGAGTTTTCTCGTGTATTTATATCGACAAACGTGTTGGGTTCATACAGTGAAATGCAAAATAATTACATGAAATTGGACCGTAAAACGCGCGCTGATGAAATTATTTCTTAGTATCACTTGATGACGCCAAGATTTTTTTCTCGTTCCAATGAAGAACAACAAGTATTATTAATACGAATTTGGAATCAGTTTTTAAGTCAAGTATTTAATGTCTAAAAATATATATCCTTGCATTTATGATCAGTTGATATTTATAACGCGAGATCTGTTGCCGCGGGACAAGCGAGACACGTGCTGTAAACTTTGTTCGCGAATACTTCCTCTCGCGCGTGTCGGTTGCCTTTGAAAAACTTCGTGAGACAAGGGGCGACCGATGATGCGTGGAGTCTCCTTGTGTGATCGTCTTCCCGATGCCGATCTGGATGCCCGGTGCTCTCGTCAACGACGAGCCCCGGGTGGGTGGGGCGCGAGGTGTATCTAACTATAGAGGCAACACGTAGTGCAGGATATTGTCGCGTAGTCTCCAGCGAAACAGTCCACTGCGAAGGCTCATCGGGACCGCATCCGCTGGCTCGTTATCGCACGAATTCTCGCCTATCGTCACATGGACCCCGTCGCACCGTAACACACGAATTCCGCTCCAAGTAACACACACACACACACACACACACACACACACACACACACACACACA